GGTGAAGGACGCATTTTGCTAAGCAGTGATTAGAACTTTTAAAAATGCGAAGATGTTTTATGGAATTGAAGAATTTCTCAAGCGAGAAAGATTTCGTCATGCCACAATAAGAGTTTTCGCATTCGACGAACGAGAATCGCTGCATTCAACAAGTAATTTGAAATTGACAATTGATTTAAAAAGATATCTCTGAGAAAGTGGTATTAAACGACTGCGCAACTACGAACGTTCCTCACATCAAGAAGAATCCCAACTTATCCGAGTGCTTCGTTATTGTCACATACAAATCCAGCACTAGACATGAGTTCTTCCCTCATAAGTGCATTCAATCGAAGTAGACGAATAACTCCAGTGCTAATCGTTGTAAACAATTTATGAGCGATGGCGATTCACAAATGAGAATTCTTTGATTCTAGTGAAGAATTGTTGAGGGAATATTTAATGCAGTCATCAATTAATTATTAATTGAGTTTCGTCTCATTCTTTCATAATAGGAAGCAATTCAATTTCGATTATGCCTTTTAAAGAAAAATGGACAGAATGCCAACTAAAATCGGTAGATAATTTGGACAGAATGCTAGGATCCAACTTAGATATATGCAAACATGATGCTCAAAAGGTTTACTGAAACACACGAATGAATCATTTGATCGATTGAACTAATTGCTATTACACACTATGTTGACATGCTATTGCCGATTAATATAACACATCAGTATCTGATATCTGTTTCTATTGTAAAAGCTGATATGCGAATTGGGTTCATTTTTTGGTTTATTAATCATTCTAATTATGATAATAAGTTTTGCTCATGCAAAAAAGAAATCCATAATTGATGAAGTATCTTATGTGGGTGATACTTTTGATGTTTCAAGTTGTGAAAACATTAGAACTTTGAGTTACAATCAAACGAATCATTCACTATTCGTTGTGGATGTTAGAATGATTCGGGGCGTTCATTCCTATGATCACTGAACGATGCAGAATGGACACAAACGACAGGCTAGCAACTAACTGTAATAGGTGCGAAGTATAAAGAACTTTTGAATGGCACGAGAATTATTTACAGAAAATTTTTTACAAATGCATCCGCAAATGGACAACGAGTACAATGATGCTGAAACAGCAACGAGGAATCTTGTCGATGCTGGAGGCGAAAACGCAAAATCTTCGAAGATGCCTCTTATAGGATGGAAGCAGGGTGTTATGACCAACGCCATAAGGTAGGTGGAGATTCGACTCAAACAATTCGCACTCTCAATTCAACGCAATCACTCGCTTTTTTGCGGTGACACTGTAGTTTGTTCGTTACTTCGATATCACTTCGGTCATTGCATAATGGGAGGATTGAGATGTAGATAGTAATTCGGGTTGTCGAAGAGCATCAGCATTTTATAAGAGGGATGGACAGTAGCAGTTATGCATAATGCAACTTACTTTGTAGTGGGTAATTTGGTTAATCGTTACTTACAATTTTAACGCATTGGATTGAAATTGAACCACTGAAATTGAACCACCGTTTCTTCATTTGCACTATTAGGTCAATTTCTCTGAATTACTATCATTGCTACAATTTCTGAGAATTGCTACCATAGTGCAATAATTGTCCTTCCATCAAGCCATTATTTTCATTTTTGTTTCATGAAAAACGTGTAATTAATACACATGTATTAATTAAATTGTCATTCTGTCGACTGCTTTTGAGTTGTTGAAATGGCTTTTCGTTAAATGAGGTATCAGTGGGTAGGGAGAAGAATCGAATGATCACGATTAATGAGGGGCTTCGGATCACTTGGATGTGATGTGATATCGGGTAGCAATTGAAACTGAGGAGGAATTTCAGAGGCGGCAGTGCCATTTACGGATCAAAACCGTGCAAAAAAAGAATCTGTCAAAATCATGCGAGCACTGAAGAGAAACAGTCGTTACTGGAGCAAACAAGTGATCAGTAGCCGATGTAATGTTTATTTGAAATCGATATTCGATGAATTAATTAAACGAAAAAGTGCCAAATTAAGGAGCAGATTCAACGTATATTCAACGTTTCGCAGTCAATCCGTTCTAATCTGAACTGAAATTGCCTCGAGGATGGTTTTATTGAAAGTGTTATTTAAACGATATTATTGTTCAATGTGTCAGCTGATTTTTGAAAATAGCGCTCAGTTTACATTTCAATAGTGAGATGAATAAATGTTCCAATTGATTGTCGAAAGCGTTCCAACAAAATGCAAATGATTTGAGAATATCTCTTTCGATCTATTCAAAACGACGAAATTCTTGTTCATGAGAATCCACTGATGCAAATCAAAATATCAGTACCAATAAATGTTTCCAATACTCTCTATAAGAAGCAATCCTGCATTTCAAACATTTGATTCTTCTCAAAACTTTTATCGACTTTTGATCAAATTTGCGAAGTTATAAGTGAGAAACTTTTAAGATTCAAAGTAAAATTCCAAATCAGGAAACAATGATTCTTAGTGATTGTTGCTTAGAAAGGACAAGAATATTGTCTAGTTGTGAGGAAGTGCTATCAGCAAACGTTGGGATTTAATCTCTTCTCTCTGCTTTTTGGAGATTTTTTGGAGCCATTATAACTTGTGAGAAGTTTCCGCTTTGAACAGTATTCCATCTCAAGCAATTTTGTTAGTGCTATTAATGTTAGCGTTGTGCTGGTAAGCATAGTCTATTGATAGAATTGCTGACAACATTTGGCCGTCTCTACGATAGCTTTCGCCTTCGGGTTTTTGATTTTCATTATTTTGGCTGAGGATCATGTAGCGACGCTATGCAAAAGATTGAGACCGAATGCCATGCATTCATTGGCATTCACTCGACGTTGAAAATTATGCAAACTAATAAGGGATCAGAGATGTGATGAATTTGATGCGTAACGAGCAATTAAACGTCAAAACACTCACATCAACGAAGAACACTCCGACCAACTAAGAAGCAACCATGAACCATGACGTTTGAACCAATAAACAAGGAAGGGATCCCCATATACTCGTTAAGAGCGTTCATCAACATCAACATTCATCACCATACGTCACAACGCTGAACGTAATGTGTTCTAGCCATATAATGGGACATCACCGGTCAGCATATAGCGAACTTTGCATATTTTCTTCAAGACAGCAAAACGTTACACCAAACAAGATAGAAATTTTGAACTTCTCTGTTTCATCGAAAATAACTCTGTTTCTGGTATTTCGACGTTTAGAGTTTAGTTCTAGCATGGATTTGGGTAACCTGTAAAGAGCAACCAAATAGCATCACGAAATCAACCCTATCACGACTTGAAATTCCGAACAAGAAATTATGGAATCAAGACGACAGCGTTAGTGCTTGCTCGCAATCCGATGAAGAATTCAGTATTCGACAGAATTCATATTCAATAATAAGGAATAACTGAGCAACAATCGGAACTATTCTGAGCAAGTTAAGAAAAATTGCTTGATGACCTAGAACTTCAAAGAGGATCTAGCACTGGTTCCGAACAAACGTTTGATAATAATAAGATGTTTCATATGTTGGCTTAGCTTATAATAAATACCTACAAATTCTAACATTCAGCAGAAAGCGCCACAGTAAAGCGTTCATATAGCAACGAGTAGGGTTCGCAAAATCCGACGATTTTTCAATCCCGGGATTGGGATTTAATCCCGGGATCGATTTTTGATCCCGGGATAATCTCACGATCAAACAATTATTGGAATATCGATGCGGGACATGTTTAAACACATTTTTTTCGAACCAATATGGTCATTATTAATCAGAAAGGAGCTTTTAGCAAATTATTGAACAAATCCAAGGAACTAATAGTAAGTATTCAAATTCAAATTAATATTTCATATAATGATGCCAATGATCATGTCGCAAGGGCATAGTGCATATTCTATGCTAAGCATCTTGATCATCTCGGGTCTAAGCTAATAACAGTACACTTGCATGTGAATATGAAATTCTTGATTCTCAAACACTTATTTGTAATGCTTCAAGTCCATTTTCTCTCACAATCAGCATTAACGTCAGCTGAATTCTGCCGTTTCGGAAATTTCGAATTTTTAACGAAAGAAACGCACCGCATGAATTATATTGTTTGAATTTTGAAATAATTAAAAGTTCGAAATTTATCTAAAAAGGTAAAAAAATATCCGCAATGGATTTTCATCGAACCATCGAGCACTTACATATTTGATAATTTCGATCAGAAATCACACAAATGTACAATACTTGATATTCAAGCTTAAGATCCTTTTGAATGGAACAACTTTGCTCACTTTGGCAATGAATTCTCACTATGAGTGAACTCAGTGAGAATTTATGTACATTTCGATCGGATAAAAACGTTTCCAAATAGCGAATTAAAAAGACTTGCAGTCTTTAGAGCATGCAGTTTAATTAACAAATGGAATATTGAAGCCGAAAAATCGCATTATTTCGTTGAATTTTGTTGCTCTTGGTTCTTATTAGAAAATGTGATTATCTCTGTTAGTCTATTACATAGAAA